ACTAATTATAATTTTTTAGAGCCTAAATCTTAAAATTCTAAACCTTAAAAAATCTTTTGACCCCTAAAACCTCTTAAACCCTCAAAACTAAACCATAATACAACATAGTTAACCCAAACATAAATGATATAATGAATAAATAATTTTTAAAAAGTGACATTTGTAAAGATTGTAAAAATGTGGCTTTTTTGTAAAGTGGCATTTTTTGAAATTTCAAAATTCTAAACCCTAAAAAATATTTTGACCACTAAAACCCCTTAAACTCTCAAAACTAAACCCTAATACAACATAGTTAACCCAAACATAAATGATATAATGAATAACTAATTTTGAAAAAATGGCATTTTTGTAAAGATTGTAAAAAGATGGCATTTTTTGAAATTTCTCTAGATTTTTAAACCATATATCTTAAAATTGTAAACACTGAAAAATGTTTTGACCGCTAAACTCTCCTAAACCCTTATAACTAAATCCTAATAGACCATAATTAACTCAAACATAAATAATATAAAAAAACTAATTTTGAAAAAATGGCATTTTTGTAAAGATTGTAAAAAGATGGCATTTTTTGAAATTTCTCTAGATTTTTAAACCATATATCTTAAAATTGTAAACACTGAAAAATGTTTTGACCGCTAAACTCTCCTAAACCCTTATAACTAAATCCTAATAGACCATAATTAACTCAAACATAAATAATATAAAGAAAAAATAATTTTGAAAAAGTGGCATTTTTGTAAAAATTTCAAAAATATGGCATTTTTTGTAAAGTGGTATTTGAAAAGTGGCATTTTTTTAAATTTCTCTAATTCTTTTAAATATTTGTGCACACATAAAAGAAATTCCTTGACATGCCATTTTCCTATGTAAACATGTCAATTTGTGACCAAAAAACAAAAAAAAAAACATGTTAATTTTCTAGAGAATTTTTGAGATATTTTAAAAATATCATCATTTTAAGAAAAATTCAAAAATGTAACTAATAATATCATTTGTTCAAAATATCATTAGGTTTAGTTTTTGGGGTTTATATTTTGTTAGGGTCAAAACATTTTTTAAATTAATTGTTTATGGTTTAAAACTAAAAAAAATAATTTATAGTATTTTCTTTTTTAAATGGATCTCAAAATAAAATTTTTGCAAAATTATATTTCAAAAATGGCATTTATGAAATTCCCTCATTTTTCTATCTAAACATAAAATTGTTACTGAAATACTAGTATATTTTATATCTGTCATATAAACATGTGATTTATTATTGACAAAAACAAACATGTGATTTATTATTTTATAAAAAATTCTATATTGTTATTTAACACATTAAATATCGGTACACATATTTACAAAAATACTAAACGAATATATAATCAGAGATACATTCGATATTATTGTGTTATTGGCTAACTTA